TTATGAAGCAGAAAAAACTAATAACATTAGAAGAATCAAGTTAGAGGAAAGTTAAAATTGTTAACGTATTAACGAATAAATTGAAAAATAGGAAGTATAAATGAGGCATGGTTCAGAAAGTTTATCATTTTTCCTACAACAAAATAAATATGACATGAAAATCTCAAACATAATTAACAGAAATAAAAATTTTACAATTCGCAAGTTCATAAGAAAAGAGACTTGTAAGGAATTTGCAGCAAAATTATCATTAGTAAGTAATACATGATCAGTTGAAAGACCTTTTGACTTAAATGTAGAAGACATTTTAATTTCCTAACAAAAAGATAAGAGATAATGAATAAGCAGCTACCATGAACGAAAATATAGTATTGTAATCATATAATTGCATACAAAAATCATATTATGTTTAAGATAAGTATATTGCTATGTATTTGTAATTTCATTTTTATGATTGAGTTAATCATAATCAGACGAAGTGAAAATTTTTTAATAGGACTTAAAACATGTGGCAAGTTCAATAAAAAGTTAATTATTAGAAATAGATATGCAACATAATATTAAAATCTAACGAATGTCACCAACTCTTAAAGTTGCTATAACTTGCAATAAAGAAAACTAAAAAGAGAGATAGTGAGAGAGAGAAAGACGGATAAATAAGAAATAAATATCTAGAGTATCAAGACTAAAATATGTAAGTTAAACAGGAATAATGATGAAAGTTTAAAGGTCTTCTAATTTGATTTTTTTAGGTTCGGTCTCAATAACTTCATCAGATATTTCTTTTATTGATTGAACTGTAATTGAACGAAAGCTTCGATTTCCATATTCTTTATCTTGAACCTTTACTGAGAATATCAGCTCCTTATCACAAATATTTGTGATAATGTTATTATAATCTTCAATATTGGATGCCTATATTAAAAAAACAAAATATATATATTAGAGTATGCATGTATAAGTTATAATATAAATAGAATGACATAAAAAAATTATTTACCTTTATTTTCTCTAAATTTGTAACTGGCATGCCAATAAGTTGTTCAACTTCATTATCAAAAACTGTAAATATTGCAGTTGAACTAATATCCTCAACACGTAATTTGATAAGATACATGTGAAAATAATTTTTTTGGAATATGTTATGAAGTTTAATTTTTTTATTTCAAATAGGATAATATTATATAAATGTTTTGCCTCAAACTATATTCAGGATTTTCTTTTGAACATTTAGAACATTTTGCAATAACATCAATAATAAAACTTTTTTATTTACATGTATTGCATGAATTGTACCATAGATTTCCTTCTTGATTAAGTCCTTTTATTACTACTCTTGTAGAGTAGTACTTTACCTGAAATGTACAAAAATTAATTTATTAAAAAGAAATTATAATAATAATTGAAAAAATTTATTACCTCTCCCAATGATTGTTCAGATGTGTTGATATTTTGTAGATTTGTCATCAAATATGTATCAAAAGCAGATGATGTATGTTGATGAATATTTTTATGTTGTTGGAAGATGTTTAGATAGCTTTTAAAACCAGTAAAATAGAAATAAAGATTGAAAAAGATCATAAGGTTTTCTCGCTATGGATGTAAGAATTAAAGTGGAGACAAACAACATGAATTTGCAAGGATAGGTCAAAATAAATTAAAAAATTTAGACATTTTCCAATAAAAAAAAAGAATATTTAAAACAAATAATGCTAACGAAGTCAATAGAAAAGATAAAATTATTTGAATTTGGGGAGCTTCAATGGACTCATATGGATATGAGGATAAAAAGTTCGCGATAGTTACTTTTTAATGATTGTGATGAATGAATAAAGGGTTAAAGTTATTCATGTTATCGGACTCTCAAAAAGCATTGGTTGAATCATATAGGGAATTTAGTAATTAAAAATTATTATGAGAAATAACAATTGCTCTGAACTCATGAAAAAAATTGTTTTAGAGAAAGTTAGATGCTCCATAATTATATAAAATTTAGAAATCAAATTAAATAATTTTTTTAGAGTTTAATAACTTTACACAATCACTATAAATAAGAATGTGAGACATCTTAGAATGTAAGTAAGCATAATAAAATAAGGATTTTTGCAAAGGCTTTACATAAATCAATAATGAGCAATTATATGATATAGTAAATGACAAATTGTTTATAATAGTTAACTTACCTTGAATGATATGTAGGGCAAGAGGATTATCAAAAAACAACAGTGAACAATTAGCAGGTCAAAATCGTGGGTTGGATTTTATGGATAGCGAATCCTGCAAAATAGTATATTAGGCAAAAAAATTTAAACGAGAAATATGAATAAATCAAAATATTGCACAATCAAATATAAAAAAAATTACATAGAAATAAAATAAAATCTCAATTTTCAAAGTGTATAATTTTATAAAATTCTTATATTGAATAGAGACAAATTTTGAAGTACAAGAAATGGAATATCAAAATTGTTTAAGGAGAACTAAATTCAGTAACAAACATTGAGTAATCCATATAAAAAAATAAGAAGAGAAACATAAAATGAAAAGTTAAAGAAAATCAAAGTGCAAATATTAATGCGTATTGACAGAAAGAGTGAATAATACATCACTAATTAAACAATTAATTATTTAATTATTCTACTTATTTATTAATATTTTAAAATATATTAATTAAGTAAATCAATAATAACTTAGACGCGTGAAGGTTTGCCTGCCATCTTCTCTTTTAGTCGTCGCTGTTAGGCTTCGCTTCTTCGCGCGCAGGAGGTGTAGAGATCGCATGCGTAGCTTCTTCGTTTCCTTCGTGACTGTTCAACTTCGCACCTTCGACATCTTTCCCTTCCTGTCGGATTGGAAATTTCGACATTTTGATCGGAAGCAAGAACGGGAACTCGCTGGATGTGAAGGTAACTTTCTCCCTTTCGCCCTCTTCTTCTGCTAAATAGCGTTAAATCCGCCGAACAGAGAGATTTAGTAAATCCGGGATTTAAGCCTTAGGTCCCTAAATCCGGGGAATCCCTGGGTTTAACGAGCACACAAAAACCATTTGGGTGGATTTAGCGTAAATCCGACTTAAATCCGATACCAAACAGCCCCTAAGAATTAAAAAATAGGTTAACTCGTGGGGCTTCGAACAACATTTGTATAGCCGCGTTGGATTAGAGGGAGAATCGCGAGATACAGAAGGATTCGGCGAGCGAAACCCGAACAAAAGCAAGGTAAGAGCAAAAAAAAAAAATCGACAACAACTATTTTAAGAATTTAAAAAGATGCGTGAAGAAAAAAAAAACAGTAAGAAGTTTACCTTTTGAAACGGGATTTTTGGTGAGTTCGGTGAGCAGGCAGGAAGCGACAATGGGGGAGAAGCGCGAGATACAGTAGGCTTCGGCGTCGAGAGAGGATATATGAAAGCGTCATTTCGTGTAAGGATTTTTTTTGATAAGAATGAAGAGTGTAGGGATGTGAAGAGAAATGAGGAGGGATGCCTTAAGAGAAAACACAACTTAGGATAAAGCTTTAATAAAATCAACGACTGATATAAAGCTATAAAATTTTTAATGGCCAGGATGACGTATGGGAAGATGCACAAGCGGCACTTTAATAGTAGTATAGATTTCATAAATGATATTTTTTTAGTTCAATTAATGTATTTAATATATTTAATTTCATTTAAACTGATATTATATTTTTTATCATCAATATGAGAAAAAACATGATTATTCTCAATTCATCTAATGTCACAAGGTTTACATAAATGTTGTTAGTCATTAAAATTTTTTAGCAATATTGTTGATGCCTTTAAGAACCTTTCAAAGTTCTTATTTTTATGAAAAACTTTCTCTATTTGTTGATCTAAAGATTTGCTTAGCTTCTATCAATCATTGTAATGCATGTGCATCTTAGTTATAATAATGTAACTACTTATGAAAAACATGTTATGTGAAAATCAATTGTGACAATAACTTAAATGTGATTTGTAGAGGATGAAGGATTGAATTAATCTAATAAATGTTTGTGAGGTTTATAGTGTTGCATGTGACCTTGTTAATGTTTTTTTCTTGTATTAGAACCTACATGGAAGTTGCTTATGTTGTAAAATCATAAACAAAAATTTAACTTATTAATCGCAACTAAATAAAGAAGGTTAAGACTAAATTAAATTGAACTTATTCATCATTTCCAATTCGGTTATGTTTAGTTTGAGGGAATTGAAAGAGGAACATAAAAGAAAAATGCTAGTAGTAAATGAATTGAACTATGATGATTTTAATTTATGTATATAATGGTTTGATTGACAAGAAATTAAATCTTAACAACCATGAGATTTTCAGGAATAACAAAATCAACATTATGTTTTGAGGTAGAGCGGGGCTATATCTCTTATAGTAAATCACATTATCTTGTTGAATAGAAAATACAAAATCATCCATTGTTGTGGTATTAATGAAGTTTTCTATAGGTTTGTTAGTTTTTTTTTACGTTAAAGACGCATCAGATTGTTTTCACCTTATAAACTCTCATGGAATTTCTGATGTAAAGAACCTTAATGACCATAATAAATAAGTAAGACTCATATCCTAATATATTTTATTTATTTAATTTCAGTTAAATTGTTATGATAGATTGTGTAACGTCAAGTATGATCCACAATGCGGCCCTGCGCCGGAGTTCCTCTCAATCCCGCCAATGGTATACGACCCGGCTCCTTCACTGGCAGCCCAGAAAGACGACATCAAATATGAAGAAGAAGATGATGAAATTGATCGCCTCATCAGTCTTCTGGGCCTATCAGCCGACGGCGAAGACGGAGGCGGTGGGTTGGGCTCTTGCCATTGCAGCGGAGGGGGGTTTTATCGAAAAGCGGTAGGAGTCAAGGGGCCCATTTGCGAGAAAGAAATGGGGCGGCTTGATGGTTGGATCGAGCACTACCGGCGGGAAAGGAGAGAGCCGGCAAGGCTCGCGCATCTTCTTCTGGCAAAAGCTGTATCAATGGAGGCGAGCCGTGGGGTCGATGATGATGATGATGATAATGCCTTCGGAGCGATTGAGTTTCCTCCGACTGTGGAGGAGTTTTTGGAGCATGACCCCCCATTTCAGAAGGGTGAGTAAAATCTCTCTTGGTTATGCGCTCAGTGATATGATTTTCTATCTGGAAATGGATGACTAGTTGATTAGTTTACCTCGAAAGAAACCAACTGTAAATTTTTGTACTCTTTTTGTTTTCAATTAATAATGTTGTTTGGAGAAATGATGAGAGTGACAAATTTTTGTTGTTGTTGTCGAAAGAAGAGCGGTTTATATGACCATAATGATCTTTTTGATTCCTTTTGCTATATAGCCAAAAAACATGCAACTTTCAAGAAGACAATATCAGCTGTAGGTCGAATTTAAACTAGTCAAATACAAATATGATAATCACAAATAATTTTCAACACGAACATATTTAGAATAAATATAAAATCAAATGAGCCAAATACGAACACATAGCAAGTTTGTTCAAATTTGACTCATTTACACCTCTAATTAATTCAGTTGATGTTATTAAGTTTTACAGATAGTTTTGCAACCATAGTAACAAATGATTAAAGCATTGGTGTCAATAGGATAGAATGTTCATTTAGCTTGTAAATATGACTCTTTAAAAGTCATAATAATCCTAATCAATTAGGCATGAACTCGCATGGTAAGTTTGCACATCAACTTTTAATTAAAAATGAACTTGCAATTTAACAATATCTAACAACATCAATTGCTCTCAAAGATTGCCACCCATTGGCCACCATTAATGACCATGATCATCATTTTTATGGACTATTAATGTAATATCCACAAAGTCAAAATATAGGTAACTTTTGTTAATGATTGTCAATTTTGATTTGATTTCCAATTATGATTTCCAATTATAAGTCTTAAAGTATTTAAGGAAGCTTTTAATAAGTCAAGAATTAGATTGGAGAAACGAAATTTGAAGTCATCAAAATAGCTCTGGAGCGTCACAGTGCTGAGATGAGTGGCACTGGCGCTGCAACATTAAGTTCTTAGGTGGGGGAAAGGGATTGAATGTGTGTTGTGGCGCCGGGTGACGCCACCGTCGTACGAAATTCAAATGAAAAGATTTTGAAAGAATATGGAAGATTTTCTGGGAGCATTGCAACACCAAGAAGGCTAAGGTCGCGAAGTTGGGCCAGATTAGTGATTTTTTAAATAATAAATATCTTAAACCATTTGTTAACCTCACCTTTCCCAGTCACTTTGCCTGAGAAGAAAGGAGGAGAAAAGGGAGAAAAGATCAAGAGATAGAAGGAAAGAGAGGGTATTTAGCGGCTAAAGCTAAGGTTTCGTTCGTTGAGCTTGTTCTAGATATTTTAGAGTATAAGGTAGACTTCTGAATTCCTATCTCTTATTTTAATTCTAATGATTGTATAAAATGTTATGAGTAAAAATGTATTTTTCTTTTTCTAATTTTATAATTGAATTTGACTTTTAATATGACATAATAGAGAAAAAGGATTCATGGGAGAAAGTCTTGATGTTGTTGTTTGTTTAATTTTATGATGTTTTACTTTATTTTGAATATTTTGACTATATGAAATCAAACTTCTACTAGTTATTTTTTTCTACACAAATTTCTTAGTATACAACTCGATTGAGGTCTTTCTGGTATTTGCAATAGTTATATAAAAATATTTAAATATTCATATGAAAATCTTTATGAAGTTGGAATCTAAATAGGAAATGTTTAGTAAGTATGATGTGAGACATTGCATTTATAATTTAGATACTATTACATTAGCATTGATAATATTCATAGCATGGTATTGGAGATATTTCGATATATGAGAAATTACACTCTCTGATATATTACAAGAGCGATATGTTCTATTAGTGCCCCATCTATTTAGTGTGGATGTGGGAGGATTCTAACATCACTTACTAAAAGCAAATGTGAGAGGTTATTTGGCACTGTTCTGTTCTATTTTAATTTTGGCACCACTTGCTAGATGTAGGTGTGAGAAGCTAAAGGACATTAGTGAAAGTAGAGTTATAAACATATATCAGAACATGTGCATTATGATCATTGCATTGCATATATCAATAGTTTAATGAATAAAATATAAGTAATATGTTGCACAAAATATTAGTAATTTTTTATTCTTTGTATGAGTTCTGTTGAACTGTAAAAGTCAAGTGCAAGTGGACCTTTGATAGCAAGTGTTGTGTGATGTAGTTGAACCCTCTGTGAAAGTAACTTCAAAGATACGAGTATGAACTTTAAAATCATGTATGTCATGACATATTCATGTTCTTAGTTATATCATGTCATATCACTCATTTAAGCAAACATGTAGATCATGTCACATCATTTGCAACCATATAAGTAGACAATGCATATGCATATTTCATAATTAATCACTCCATATTCCATAAGCAATAAATTAGCATGATAATTCTTATCTTTCATAAAGTGAATCATGATCTTTCATGTGTATTGGTAGAAACATAGTTGGTGTTTTTTAATCATTCCATGGTCATCACCCAGATGCTTGCTAGCAAACTCTTTAGACATCACAATGCCAATCACATAATATGCTTGCTGGCTACTCCACATAATTTGTGCTACCTTGACTTGCAAGTATAATACCAACTATTCCCATGTAACCATATTAGAGACCCCGCCTCTTACCTTCTTTCACATCATTAAGGCAAGAGAAGGGGATAGTGATATAGTATCATTATGGGATATTACCACCTTTTGGATCAAATCATAAGGATCACCCTATTTAATTGGCTTTTCATGTTACTTTCATGTTGCTTCATATCTTACACTTATGATTTTAACACTACTATTTATAGCCTAGAAAAATAAATGAATAGAAGATTTCAAATTCTCTATGTTATGAGGGACAAAAATAGGAAAAAATATATTAACACTGTCTAAGGTTTACCAATCGTCAAGCAAGATGCTTTACATGAGGACTGTTAGGTTTCTCCACTTTCATTAGAACTCTTGCTTAACCGCTTTCTAATTTTTTTTTAATGGTGTATTTTGTTTTGTTTTTTCAACTAGTCATTCGCTACAATTGCTTGATCTTGTACTCATTTCATCAATTGGTTATAAAACTATTGCTTTAAAAAATGTAGGCAACAAAAGGTAACCATGAGTGATAATACAAGAGATTTGGGAGAATGAAAGTTAGCATCAGTTCAATGAAGGAGATATTAAGTTTGAAAGTTAGAGAACAACAATCAGATGAGAATTATGGGAAGGCGCCGAGTAACAAAAAAAGAAAAGATGTGTTGGTTGACAACAACTACCTTTAGAAAAAATAGATAGCATAAATGTCTAGGTGACTACGTTGCAGACAACAACAATAAAAAAAGTGGTTTGGTCAAAATTTGGCTGATAGTATTTCTCAAATTCAAATCTATAAGAACTGTAATGATCAGTTAGGACTTATGCTGAAATTATCTAGCAAATCTATCTCGGCTATGGTGGCTAAGAACAAAAGGGTTCATGAGGAGGTGTACAGCAAATGGCTCAAGGAGTTAAAGTTATCTCCACAGGTAGAATGCTTTTGGTGGCATCTATTTAATAACGCCTTACCTGCCAATAATTTTTTATTTTATAGGAGGATGGTAAATAACAACTCTTGTCCTAGGAGTTGTTTGGAAATAGAAAACATAAATCATGTGGTAGGGAATTGTTCTTTGATCCATATGGCTACAACCAAGTTGAATGATTGGGGTTTCAAAGTTCCAACGGTTACTTCACTAATTGATTGCATATTAGAACTTAAAGCTCTATCTGGTGGCAATAAATTCATTGGAAATTTGTATTGCTCAATGGTGTTTGTTTCTTGGAAAAGCAGGAACCGGGTTAAGCACGGAGATGAAGAACTCGGATTGGGTTTCATTGCATCTAATGCTATCAGCATAGCCTCTAATGCTTTAAAGTTTAATCTAATTTCGGAAAACTGGGGTGCTAACCAGCTTCGACTGAATTATTCTTATTGGATTAAATTTAACTTTGATGCAGCTCTGTTACAATCCTATAAAGCAGGCATTGGTGGAGTTTTTAGAGATCACATAGGGAGGTTTCTCTCAGCTTTCGGTTTTAAATGCTCTCATTGGGATATAGGAGCATTGGAACTTGCTGCATTTCGATACTTGAAGGTGGTTATTAAGGAATGGATGGTGGAAGCTAAAGGCTTAATCATAGAGGGAGATAATATAAATGTCATCAAACATCTTCAAAAGTCGGTTGAAAGGGCTGATTGGAGAAAGAGGGAAGATGATTTTGAAGATCTATCATTCCTTAAAGATTTTGGTTCATTCATATTTCATTTTTCTTATAGAAATTATAATAAGTTGGTAGATTTTTGTGCTAACTTAGCTTTATAAGGAGATTTTTATTGGGATGATCTTACTTGTAATAATGTTCATCCTCATTTCATTTCTTTATTGAAGGAGGACGGTGATAGATGTTCTATCACCTAGTAGCTTGTATCTAGGTTTATTTTCTTCTTTTCTTTTAATGCAATTGGCATTTCCATAAAAAAAAAACAATAAAAAAAAGGATATGCAGGTGGACAACAACAAATTTGGAATGAAATGACGAGCAGGTTTAGGTGGTTGATTGTAGCAAAATTGTGAGTAATATTAGTTGAAAACTTTATGGAATGTTTTCAAATTATTGTATTTATTAGTTTCCTAAAATTGTATGGATTCCTAAAGTATTCTAAACAACACTATGTATCCCCATTTTGTATCATAACAAGACAGAAGTTTTTTTATCATTCTTTTCTATGTGATATCAAAGTCTCTAATAGTTGATTGTCATAAATAGTGAAAATCAACTTAATCCAATCAAAAAAGAAATTTAGAATAAACAAAAATATGTATCAAATGAATGGAAGAAATTATCTAAAATGATATCAGATTGTCATAATTATTAGTTTCCTAAAATTGTGTAGATTTATAAAGTATTCTAAATAATATTATCTATACCCATTTTATATCCGTCTCTAAAAGTTGAATGCCATAAACCAATCAAAGGAGAAATTTAGAATAAACAAACTTTGTACCAAATGAATGGAAGAAATTATCAAAAATGATATCAGATTGTGAAAATCTTCTTGAAATGAAAGAAAAACTGACACTAAATTATATCTTTCACTTAAGGATGAAGATGTCTCCATGATGCTATCGCTATGGACCTACATGATATCCAAATGCAAGAAATTTTGAGATATAACATTCTTAAAAGTCAAGAATGTTGCCCTCATATATGAAACACAGACAAAACTCTCAACAACCAAACAAGATAACACATATATCATTAAATACATCAATGAAATAAAATATCTATATTTTGTCTTAGATTCTTATCAAGATTTTAAGATTACATACAACATTGATGTTGTGGTTCTAAAATGAAATGTTGTAAGAAAAATGATTTTTGAGTTTCTTAGAAATGTCAATATAGAGTTTGAATAGGTTTGTGTCGAAATTTTGGGAAAAAAGTCATGTCATCTCATGCCTCCATGTACATAGAAGAAGGATCTCAAATTAAATGACTAATTATCAATGAATGAACCAAGATGTAAGGCGAACATTCTATCGAAAATGCAACCTATGGTGCTACTACTGCAAGAAGGGGCATACTAAAGCAAACTATTGGAAACTCATGAACGGTCTCTAGGGGTGGTTTATAAATAAAATTATCCTAGCCATATGGGGGGGAGCGTTGGTTTACGAACAAAATCAATCAAAATGACATGCTCATTTTATAGAGCCAAAAATGGTTGACTTAAAATAATTTAACATACTAAGGAATCTTCTCAACTCTCTTAAAAATTATCTAAAGTCATGCTCTCAAATTTAAAATGATAAAATTTTTAATTTGTGTGTGTTCAATGCCTCAAACAAATTATCCTCTAATACCATAATAGACTGAAGTGCTACATATTTCATGAAAAAATACTATTAACATATTTCTAACCAAACAACATTACCCTAGATATATATACAACAACAACAACATCAAGCCTTTATCCCACTACGTGGGGTCGGCTAAATGAATCCTTTTTCTCCATTGTGTCATATTAAAAGTCAAATTCTCATTTAAATCTAATAAAGAAAGGTTATTCCTAATATTTTCTAACCAAGTCTTTTTAGGTCTACCCCCTACCTTTCTTAACACAAGTCAAATCTAATATCTCTACTCTCCTAATCGGGTCATCGGAAGGCATCCTTTTTATGTGACCAAACCATCTAAGGCGACTCTCTCTAATCTTATCTTCTACTGGAGCTACTCGAACCTTTTCACGTATATGCTCATTTCGTATCCTATCTCTAAGGGTAAAGCCACTCATCCACCTGAGCATCCTCATCTTTGCCACACTTAACTTAGTATTATGCTTCTCTTTTAATGGCCAACATTCGGCACCATAAAGCATTGCAGGCCTCAATACCATCTTATAGAATTTTTCCTTAAGTTTGAGGGGTACATTTCTATCACATAACAAGCCCGATGCATTCCTCCACTTCAACCATCCAACTTGAATTCTACTGATAATATCCCTATCTATTTCACCATCACTCTGAACAATAGATCCAAGATATCTAAAACGTGTACTCTTATTAATGACTTGATCGCCCAAAGTCACGATCCCTTCACTAGGTCTATTACTACTAAAATTACACTCCATATATTCCGTTTTAGATCTACTCAAGCGAAAACCTTTAGACTCTAAAGTTGACCTCCATAATTCAAGTTTACCTTCAACTCCCTCTCTAGTCTTATCAACAAGAAGAATATCATCAGCAAAAAGCATACACAAAGGTACATCCTCTTGCAAATGTCTAGTGAGAACATCCATGACTAAAGCAAAAAGATATGGGCTTAAGGATGATCCTTGATGTAACCCAACCGAAATACCAAACAAAGTTCAATAAGTTCTCTTTGGAGTGAAGTCGACATAGCTTGACCTAGTAATACCCATAGCTGATAGATCAGTTAATGTATCCTTTATAATCCTAATAAGGAATAAATTTATAAAATAATGATATTAATCAACAAATTGTATAATAATGGAAGACAAATAATTTATAAGAAATTCGTTTTTACTCACCTTTTTTTCTTGTTTCAGTAGAAAAGGACCACTTAGCATTTGCCAATGCTCCCAATTATGATTATGCTAATCCCTCTAGGAATTGTTTCACCATTCAACCAACAAAACAATGTAAAGAAACAAACGCATGCTTCTTTGACCTGAAGCAAATGTACAGAACACAAGGAATGAAATCAATAATGAATAAATTTATATTTGAAAGAAATCATACCTTCAGTACAATGATTTCCATCTCGATCAATTTTGCTAGTCTCTACATCGATATGAAAGTTCAGATTTATGGTAAATGGAGGCTCCATGATCTTAAACTTCCACCACTTGGTTGTTTTTTTATGTTGAAATACTAAAGCAGAAGTTGATTAAAATCTCCACTGGATATAGTTCATTCCCTTTTACTACATCCAGTTTATTTTATACTGTCATTTTATAAGCTCCTTGCTAAAGCATTAACGGACCTCGTTAAATAGAATTGATTATTATAGTCTACCAATAATCTCCACAAGAACACAAACCATCCCTAAAGTGGTGAAAACGACTTGAATCTCTTAGAACAATCTCACGCTCAACAATCATTGATATCAGCTTTATTGCCGTGTGGCAGTCACCACATACCCGTAGGTTCTTCATAACCCTTATATTGCTTCCATTTGCAGTAACAATAAGACCAAAAGCAACAGCAATCTTCTCGCTATGATACTTTAATGAATGCTCTTTCTGTTCATCATCCACATCATGCAAGGCAAAGGTTTTCTCACAGACATAACCATGCTCTTTCAGCTTTTCATCCAGCCAATCAAGTTTTTTGTCTATCTCAGTGGTCAAAGGATTGGATCTATCTCCACAAACAAATTCGTATCGGGATTCATGTACTGTAATCCAACTAGAACCAGGAATCTTCACAATACCAGAAGACCTCATCATCATTCTTGTTTGTGCCACATCATTCCATTTACCAGCAGAAGCATATATGTTAGACAATAATACATAAGCAGCACTGTTATATGGGTCTAGATTAAAGATCTCTCCTGCAGCTTTCCTTGCAATTTCTACATTGCAATGCACTCTACAGGCACTAAGCAAGGCCAGCCATATCATGACATTTGGTTTCACAGACATGCCTCTTATGAACTCCTCTGCTTCATCAAAGTTTCCGGAACGACCGAAAATATCCACCATACAAGCACAATGCTCCACTCTAACATCAACAGAAGGGTTTTCTTTTAACAGTTTGAAAATCTGTCTTCCCTTCTCAATCATGTTAGAATGACTGCAAGCAGTTAGAAGCCCAACAAATGTAATCTCATCAGGTTTAATTCGGCAAGCTGACATTTCATCGAACAGTTCAAGTGCCCTTGATGCATAACCATTCTGAGCACAGCCAACAATAATAGAATTCCATGACACGAGGTTCCTCTTGCTCATGCTGTTAAACATCTTCAGGCCATCAGCTACATCTCCACATTTTGAGTACATTACTACAAGAGAGTTTCCGACAAATATGTCAAAGTCAAATCCTTGCTTAATGGCAGTAGCATGAATTCCTTTACCTCTATCAAGAGCTTCAAGCCCACAACATGAGTTCAATGAACTTGAGAAAGTAGATTCATTTGGCTTGATCGCCGATCGAACCATCTTGCCAAATTCATCCAATGCTTCCTCATGCCTGCCATTTAAACCATATCCAGTTATAAGAGCTGTCCACAAAAACACATTTCTATCCTCAACCCCATCAAGAAGTTTAGAAGAACTTTCAATTTGCTTACACTTGGCATAGAAAGTGATCAGAGAAGTTAATGTAAAATTTTCTTCGGCATAACTAGCTTTGATAACAATCGCATGGATCTGGATACCGAGTTCTGAATCAGGTGAATTAGCACAAGCAGTTAACAGACAAGCAAATGTACTTGAAGTGGGTTTGATACCTCGAACCCACATTTGATGGAAAAGACACAATGCCTTATCGCTATCACCATTCTGATCATGTCCACCAATCATTGCAGTCCAAGATATCACATTGCGGTGAGGCATATTCTCAAACAGCAATTGTGCATCCTGAATTCTACCATTGTCACAATATCCTGTGATCATCGAATTCCACGCGGCAGTGTCCCTGCTAGGCATTTTGTAAAACAGCTTCTCTGCAGCATCAATGCAACCAAACTTGGCAAGCCCATTAACAATACTAGTCCAAGAAATCACATTGCGGTCAGGCATTTCCGTAAAAAGTTTATGTGCAAGGCATAAATCTCCGCAATCTAGACAACCCTTGATAATGGAGTTCCAAGAGGCAATGTCTCTGTCAGGCATATTATCAAACAGATGCAACGCATCGTTAATCCGGTTGGCTTGCGAGTAACCGTTGATCATCATGGTGTAGAGATGAACATCTGGAGATGGTATTTGAAGGAAGATGCGTTGGGCTTCTTCAATATCTTTGTTACGGAGGAGATGTGACAAAATCGATTTCCAACGCCAGATTTCTTCTGTCGAGCGGACATTCGCAACAGCAAAGGGATTCGAGGGATTCGGCAAAGAAAGTCTGCAAAGTGCTAAAGAGAGTTTCTTCATGGAACCTTCGATCTCTCGCGCACGAGTAGCGCGCGTTTGCCTTGGAGAAAGCTAGTTGTTAATCGTCAGTGACTAACTATATAATGCAATCTTTAGCCAATCAGAACTACGTATCATGTTACCATGGAATTATCGAGATGAGATTATGTGGTGGTAACAACAGACGACTTGCTGTAATTCAGGGCATGTTATGTGAAAGCCGTAGTAAATGATTAGAAAGAAATTCTCCAATTAAATATACAGTGAGGATCTTGTTTGGAGATTGTAGAAGTCATCGAGCAAGTACCAATCTCTAAAGAAAACTTAAAACTAAGTGCCAACTTTGATGAAGTGTGAAAGGTCAAGTTGATCGCAATTCTATTTAGTTTGTTGGTTGGATGTTTGGCTCCCAACTAAGAGAAATTATTCTGTGCGGAATCCGAATATAGCTTTGTGTCCGGACTCCAATAAAATTACAACACCTCTATTATATATGTGGATATTCATTTTTATTTCACATTTAATTTTTTTCTTGCCAGCACGACTAACTCGGCCCAAAAATTGCCAGCTCAAAAATTAGGGTTTAAGAATATCGCTCTTTATTTAAATAAAATACCGCAAAAGTTCTATATTTTTTAGGATTTAAACTCAATAAATTTTTCATAGCTGCTGAAAAAGAAGAAATGAAGAGAAGCTGATGAAGAAGAAGATGAATATTTAATTGGAGTTGAAGAAGCTAGTGAAGATAAATATGAAGATTAGTTTGGAGGTGGAGAAGCTAGTGAAGATGAAGATGAAGATGAAGACTGATTTGGAGGTGGAAAATGAGCTTTTCTTTCTTTTCTTTATTTATCAATAAGCAATACTAAATAATTATGAATTTCTTAATCAGATTTCTTACATATAAATCATTATGATTGTTTCTTACATCTAAATCAATATGATTGTTACATAGCGATACATGTAGCGATACATAGTGGATTTTATTTAAGAATATAGTGATACATAGCACATTTTCACTTTAATTAAAATGTCTACTAATGCATACCAAAATTTCTTTATCACAGCTAATATAGCATATAAACAACGGTACATAGCATACTTTATTTAAGAATGTGGTGTTATATTATGTGTAGTGTTTTTTCCAATAGTCGTCTACAATGGAAAAAAATATCAATAAAATAAAATATCTTCATCTTCTCTAAGTGTACATAAAAAACTATCAATATAGGAATAATACTTCAAAATTACATTTTCCCTAAGTGTATAGAAAAAATAATATTCCCCATTTCTTCATCGACTTTTTCTCCAAATCAGTCTTCATCTTCATCAGCTTCTCCTACTCCTAACCAATCTTCATCTCATCGTCTTTTTCTTATATAGACCAGTCTTCATCTTCATCGGCTTCTCCTCCTCCAAACAAATCCTCAGTTTTATCGCATTGGCCTCCTCCAGACAAATCTTCATCTTCATTTTCATCGGTTATCCTTCATTTTTCTTTCTCAGCAACTATGAAATATTTTTGAGCTAAAAATCCTAAAAATTATAATGTCTTTGCGATATTTCATTTAAAAAAAGAGCAGAAATGCTTAGCCCTAAAATTTAAACAAGATTTGTTATGGGCCGGGTCAGTCGGGCTGCAAGAAAAAATTTAAATAAGAAATAGTAAAGAATTTCCACTTGTATAGAGCAGATGCCATGATTTTATTGAAGTCTGGACACAAAGCTACGTCTGGACTCCACACAAATTTCTGCAGTTCCTGAATTTGAGTATTGTGTATGTGTTGTGTGTGTGTTTGGGCGTTGCTATATATGATAAGATACATCTTAGTTGTACTCTAAATTGTATATAGTTATATGACCAAGTGCAGGATATTGATTTTGATGGGCCCTAGGATGCCGTATGGAAGTAAGATTATAAATGTACAAGATGAGGAAGTTCACTACATTAAATTAGATCCTAATCATATAATAATTGGTTACAATTACAAAATTATGAGTTATTATTAACTATATTGCGATATTTTGGGATCATATTATGCCAAAGCATATTTTTGATGAAACAAGAGTTCAACATAATATCACTTACTAAGGGTTGATGATGGTAAGGAGGTGAATTCCTAATAGTTGTATTAATTGTGGACCAATTATAGTGAAGTTTGGTTGCAATGTCGTGGGGTGAGACACTAGTATAAGATAAATATAGGTGTTCATGTAAATCATGATAAATGATAGCTATTTGTCTCCTACATATTAGATATTACATGATGGTCTTATTAACATTAATTTTATGTTTTATAAAGAACTCAAATAACATTTTAGAGTGGTTAGGAAATGAAAGTGAAATATATATATATATATATATATATATCATTCAATCACCAAATTATAAATATATAAATATTTTCTTAATTAATTATAATATTTTCATTTAGGATAATTTTCCATTTCAAGTAAAATTTAAGATTCAAAAAGTAATTTGAAACAAAAATTTTATCCTTACACACAAACACATAATACATAAAGTAACACATATACAATATTTCACATAACATGTGTTTGTGTGTATATATCTATGTAGACACATTTTTATAATGTGTTATATCATGCCACCTATGTTACAAGTTATAACAGAAAATGAATGAAGTTGCCTATCAAATTTAAACTTCTTCTTCTTAGAAGAAGATGATGCATGTAGAAACGCTTTAGATGATGTATGAGCATCTCTAAAAGTCAGTGCATTATTTCTTTATTCCTTTATATTTTCTTGAATATGTATTCCACCTTTTTTTTATTCTAATCATGACTTGGAAATCATGTTTAACTCTTAGAATAATATTACAAAATTTTATTCTTTTCCAAAATTTGAAAATTCCCTCCCTAAAGCAAGAATGCATGAATACATAATAATTATTGTAACTATGTGTATATGGCAAAGATGCTCTCATTTTACTTCATATGAAATAGTTTCTAATCATTTAAAAGTATATTCATTTGAATTTTTTTAACTCTATTGGTACCTTCATAAGTAATACACAATCTTTCCCAAATTTATTACCACTTTGAAAGTAAAGGACATGCATGTAGTCTTTTGATTTTAATACAAAATAAATAATTTAAATATTTAGAATTTTTTTATTAAGATTCACTTTCACGGATTGTCCATCAACTAAATATGGGATTTTAAAATTCTTTCTACTTTCAAATATTTGAGATGGAGTGTATCCTAGTTGAATTCACATTCTATAGTCCATAGTTTGTATAAATGTAGCCTTATAGAATTTTTTTGAAGTTAAAGAGAATGTTATCAAATTATGGTGGATGGGTAATGGAATACCCTTTCAAGGTATCCATATTTCCTATTTGTTCCATAATATATCAACTTAAGGTGATAAAACCTATTGAATAAGTAACCAGTCTGATATCAATAATAATGTGTTGTACACCTAAAAGGAGTGGGGGAGGCAGTGAATTACCATGTCTTTAAAATTTGTGAATTTTTTTCAATGGAAATGAATTATTAACTATATGATGAGCTAATTAATAATTTATGTATTAAACAAATTTAGTACACAATCCAATACAAGATGTGAGCAAGTTATTTCAAAAATAAAATAAAATTAAATAATTCTTTTTCTTTTGAAACAACTAATTTGACTTACATTGTGTTTCAAAGAAGGGAGTCTTGACTATAATATTCAATGAGAGAAATGAGTTGATACCTACTATGACAGATACAGGTTGGAGGATAGGCATAAAATATAGGAAATTGTACAAAGGTACTTGAAAGGACCATTTTCCATTGCCATTTATTGATCAAATGCTTGATAGGTTAGCATGACACTCTTTTTACTACTTCCTAGATGGATATTCAAGATACCACTAGATTCCTATAGCACCAAAAGACCAAGAAAAGACTACATTCACCATTCCTTAAGGAGCATTTGCATTTAGAAGAATGAATTTTAGATTATGCAATGTCCCTGCTACATTTTAGAGGTGTATGATATCTTTTTTTTAAAAAAAATTAATTGAGCAGGACATTGAGATCTTTATGGAAGATTTTTCTATTTTTTGGTACAACTTTTGATTGTTCTTGGGAGCATTTATCTATTATTTTAAGAAGATATGTAGAAATAAATTTAGTGCTAAAGTGGAAAAAAATATCAATCCATGATAGAAGAAGGAATAGTTCTAGGACAAAATTTTTAGAGAGAGGCTTAGAAGTGGATAGGGAAAAAGTTCATGTCATTGAAAATCTACCACTACCCACTTTTGTTAAGGGAATGAGAATATTTTTATGATATGCTGGTTTTTATAGGAGATTCATTGGGCATTTTTAAAAAATAACCAAGCCTTTACTTTAAAAAGATGTCCCTCTTGAATTTGGTGATGCATAACTTAAAGATTTTAATATTTTGAAATAATATCTAATCATTTCACCTATTATTATTTCACATAATTGAACATTTCATTTTTAAATCTAGTGTGATCGATGCTAGTGATTATGTTGTTGGAGCTTTTAGGGTAAATAAGAGATAGAAAATTTCATATCATATACTATACTAGAAGGACTTTAAATGCAACCCAAGTTAATTATGCATGATGCTAAATTTTACTTCTGGGATGAGCCATACTTATTTAGGAAATGTAACAAATTATTAGGAGATGTATCCCATAAGAGGAGTTTGAAATGATCATGTCATGTCATGACTTAGAGAATGGAGAGAATTTTAGAAAATTTAGAACTACTTCTAAGATCTTTCAATATGGATTTTACTAGCCTACCTTGCTTATATATGTAAATGAATATGTCAAAAGATGTGATAAGTGTTAAAGGGTAGGCAATATTTCAAAGAGATATGAAATGCCCCCAAATTATATGCTAGAATTTAAGATTTTTGTGTTTGGAGAGTAGACTCCATGGGTCAATTTATTCAATCTTTTGGGAATAAATATATATTGATGGTAGTTAATTATTCTTCAAGTGGATTGAGGAAGTGACAACACCCAAAATTGATGCTTAGGTAGTGATTAATGTTTTAAAGAAAAATATATTTTTAAGATTTGGAGTATATAGAGTCATCATTAGTAATGGGGGAGTCATTTTTATTCTAAGAGAGTGGATACTCTAAATTTTAAAATATTAAATTAAATATATTATAGCAACTAGTTATCATCCACAAACAAGTGGCCAAGCTAAAATAGGCAATAGGGAGATAAAGAGGATTTTAGAGAAGAGTGTGAGCCTAACTAGGAAGGAATGGGCCTTGAGATTGGATGATGCACTTTGGGCTTATATGACTACATTCAAAAACCCAATTAGAATATCTCCCTATATGTTGATCTTTTGAAAAGCTTGTCA